CTCCCCGTGTCCTGTCTGAGCCCGGTTGCCCCTTCTCCCCCCCCTCCCCTCCCCGCGTCCTGTCTGAGCCCGGTTGCCCCTTCTGTCTGAGCCTCGGTTATCTCATGCACCGCAGAAAGTAGCGCTCTGGTCTGCGGTAGCGCTCCCAATCATAGACACTAGAACTAGAAGGGACGTCGAGAGAGCATCAAGTCCAGTCCCCGCGTCCTGTCTGAGCCCGGTTGCCCCTTCTGTCTGAGCCTCGGTTATCTCATGCACCGCAGAAAGTAGCGCTCTGGTCTGCGGTAGCGCTCCCAATCATAGACACTAGAACTAGAAGGGACGTCGAGAGAGCATCAAGTCCAGTCCCCGGCCCTCACGGCAGGACCAAGAATATGCCTCAGACATAACATCAGTGTACAATATGATAGAAGTGGGGTTCCAGCCGAGGGGCAGTAGGAGATGTACTGTAGTCTTTGGGACGTGCCAGAAGGATGGCCACTGGTGGTATTGTAATTGTAGAAGGACCCCTTGTTCACTTTGAGGGCATCCTCCTTGGGTATTATTGACTACTGGCTAGAATCTGGCAAGAAGGGGATTCCTTTAAACATGTATTAAGAGGGCTTTATAAATTGAATTGTGAAAATATTATGGTACTAGAAGAAGATAAAAGTGTAGTCGCATCAGAATCCAATGATCCACACTCCAAGGTGACAAAGGAAGTCGATTAATTTATGCATTAGCTGCTTCCAAACTAATTAGTGAACTCAGAGCTTATATGGCTCAAGGTACCTTATTTCAGTTCCACCTCAACTTCCCTAGCTGTGACCAGCACCATCTCCTTGCAGCTTCCCCTTTGCTGCTTGGTAGGTCTCAACTGGGTAATAACCTCTTGATCAGCTATAAGCCTTCAAGGGAAGAAAGAGGGATCCAACACCCTTCTCCCCTTCCCCCCTGTTACTTCCTCATCTTCTGGGTCCATGACTTGGGAACCTGGGAAACGTGATGCTCCCAGCAGCCCCCACCCTGGAGAAGTAGTATGGCCGCTAACAAGCTTTGAGGCCCCAGCATTAAGGTCTGCTTATCTGCCCTGCTGTCTGCTACCACTTCTCCTCTATGCTAACACACCAGTATGATGCATACTTTCAGTGATTGTAATAACACTGGTGAAGCATGTTACTTCCGTGGCAGGGTAATAGTTACAGTAATGCGGGGTATCTTTGCTGCTCACCACAATTCTGAGTTTTTCTTGGGCTGCTACTATCCTGCGCTGCCCTCAGTTGTGAAGTTTTCACCTCCACTGTAAACACACAGGCATTCAAGTTTTTTATTAACTATGTACATCGCCTAAGGCCAATACAGTTGCCTATCCCATTTCAGGACATTGTTTCTGTTTCTGCCATGGGAGAGCTGGCAGTTGCCTGGCAGTATAACTGAATGGGTCAAACGGGGAATGAATATGGAGCCATGCTTCCAGTTCTAAATTAGGTGTATGTCTGACAGATCTGGTTGGAACTCTGATGTTTCTGATGCTGAAGTTCTGCTATACTAATGGTACTGTTGATTGTAGGAGCATATATTAGTAGAGCCCTGCATGGCCACAAAATTTGTATCTGCGTCTATATCCATAAAAATGAGCTGCAGAAACCTGTGGATAGTCACAAATTTGCAGGGTTCTAGATACAAAATTTGTATCTGTATCCACAAAAATGAGCTGCATATATCCACATTCGTATCAAGGGGTGCAGATACCTGTGGATATTTGTGAATTTGCAGGATTCTATATATTAATGAACTTGAGTTAAAAATGTGTAGAAATATATACAGGGTGAAGAGTCTTTTATATTTCTACATTGACGGAGATGAAGTTAATGTTAAAGGAGACTTCAGGCTCAAGTTTTTGCCTTTGTTACAGATTGAATCTCTGTAGTCCAGCACCTTTGGGACCTGACCAGTGTGGAACCAGAGAATTTGCCAGACCACATGAGCTCAATACTATCTAGCAGCAGTACTAACATTTTCTTTCACTGCTTACTGGGCTCTTAGAGGACATTTAGGGGTAAATTGGCACTAAACAGCACAGAGACAGGACTGGTGGCTATAAACAAACTTTATGGGATCACAGGAAACTTAGCCACACCCATGATAAGTGGATATCTTGCTAATTAAAATCATGCTGGATCACAGATATTGCCAGACCAGAAAGTGGTGGACTAGAGAGATTCAATATGCAGAGTCATGATTGCTTAGCACTGAAAATGTCATGCTTGCCGGATCATCAGACTACTCAGTGTTTTCAGCATTTTCTTCAATAGACAGTTTCATTTGATGAATCACATGATCTTAAAGAATCCAAGAACTTTCTGCACTTTGAGCTGAGCACATAATCCTATCTGTAGGTAACTTTTCATTAATTTGGCCCATTCAGTGGCTTGTTTCCTGCCACTTCCTTTAAAATTCAGCACGCTAAGTGCAATAAAAACTAACAAATTGCTTGTTTGCACCTCTTCCATTCACTAGCTAGAATGTAGAATAACCATGTAATGAGATCAGTATGGTGAAGATAATAATATAAAATGAGCTAGCCAGTTTTATTCAGAGCTGTGTTATTACATGCCATGACATGGATTCTAGCTAAGATAAGTATAGGCTTCCTAATGTTCACTGCTCCATCTGCTCCCCTCTCATCCACCTTTAATAACGGTTGATTCCATCTATTAGCAATCCACCATTCTGAATCACCATTGATTCCCCTTCGCTTCATAGACAGTTCTAAAAATTGTTTCAAAACAAGGCTAACGAGAACTTTGATGCGCTCATAACTTTGTGGGAAAGAAGTTCTCATTCAGATATTCAAATAAGAGCCTGTTCCTAAAATCCATATCTTATATTTCAAGTACACTATGTTCGGCTGCGTCTAGACTGGCATGATTTTGCGGAAATATTTTTAACGGAAAAGTTTTTCCTTTAAAAGTATTTCCACAAAAGAGCGTCTAGATTGGCACGGGTGCTTTTGCGCAAAAAGTGCTTTTGCGCAAATGCACCCATGCCCAGTATAGTCGCGTTTTTGCGCAAGAAAGTTCCTATGGCCATTTTAGCCATCGGGCTTTCTTGTGCAAAAAATTAAGGTGCCTGTCTACACTGGTCCTCTTGCACAAGAGGGCTTATCCCTGAGTAGGAGCATCAAAGTATTTGTGCAAGAATCACTGAATTCTTACATTAGAACGTCAGTGCTCTTGCGCAAATTCAAGTGGCCAGTGTAGACAGCTGGTAAGTTTTTGTGCAAAAGCGGCCGCTTTTGCTCAAAATCTTGCCAGTCAAGACGCACTCTTCATGTAAATCCTTTAGAGTGATAGGTATACTGTACTATGTTCATGTAAATAATGTAGAGTGATAGGTGTTTTTAAAATAACTTGATTTCATTCTTTTTGCTATATGAAACCTGTTTTTTTTCACAACCCCTGATGAACTATTTTCACAGCAGGTAACTACAGACAGGTATTCAAAATCTTATATGATCTTGAACAGTGGCTAATGTTCAGTAATGTTGTAGTCTGTTTTAAACTAAATCTTTGAGCAACGTCAAAGTGGTCTTATAAGTAATGCAACTTACATGAACAATGGTAGCAGTTTACTAAAAAATAAAAAAGGCTTCATTTGCTATAGTGTACATGAAACATAGCAAATGTTAAGAAACAACTCCTTATAGCAGTTACTCTTCTGTTGAAGCCTGGTGCAATGCAAGCAAATGAGTTTGACTCATCTGATGAAGAGCCTATTCAAGATGATCAGATGCCATTTCAGATATCATGGTAAGACAAATATTTTTGAGCAGAAAATCCTTTGTAATCAAATACAAAGGATTACAGAAATATCTCAAATAACACATATACAAGGTTTAAAGAAAAATGGATCATAGTTTGTATTCTGCTTGCAGTTAAATATCTGCAGTAAATGTGGGCCTAAATGTTGATAACACCTCCCAGATGGACAATGCATAGTATCTGTCCTAAAGAAACACACCACTGTCTTCAATGATATTTCAGAGATGTCCTAGAAAACAGTAATGAAATCAAGCACTCGACATACACAACAACAAAACTTGCTAGTATAACTGCCATGTGTCTCTGTATCCTGAACAAGTTAGTCCAGTTTATCTTTAAAACATAACTTGAGTGATTAAAATCCATTTAATATATTCCCAAGTAAGTTAATTCTTAATAATTTCTGACACACTGTAATAAACATGTTGTAGGTTAAGAAGATTTGATTCATAGCTCATTGAGTGGAAGTAACATGGAATTTAATCAAGTAGTAAAATGGTTTGGAATGAAGTATTGATGCTTTTAATATGCACCTCAGAAGTGTTAGAACCTATTCACTGTGTATGTGCACTTCATGTACCTCTTCTCACTTAACCATGTGATATATGTGATTAGAAATGTATGGTAGTAGTGTGGACATGTGATTCTCTTTTATCAGTAAACACTGCAAACATTTCTGGCTGTAATTCTTGCTAGTCAAACTAACTATTGTGAATAACTTTTTCACAATCCCACTGGGAAAGTGGCCATCTAGAACTGAAAACCTGAATTGGAGTTGTAGGATTATAGTCTGCATTTTCTTTTTGATAGGTTAGCCCTGTCGTCTGTCAATTGTTCTCAGTTTCTGGGAGTATGTTCTCTGCCCGGTAAGTAGTGCTGATATTTGAAGTTTGGTAGAAAGCACATTTTCAAACTAGGAAGAAATTGTGCTCTCTCTACATCCATAGTCAATGAGTGGAGTGATATAAATGCTTTCTGAGCATACAATATTGAAAAGAGTGAAGGTATCAGATCTCTTGTTTGATGCCTGTTTTTGCCTAATCCAGAAGATGGATGAAAGGTAACTGCTGATAAACTAGTGTGCTTTCCAAGTTGTAGTACCTTTTATGATAGTAACTGGTAATTAAAGTCTGAGAAATGGCACTACTCTGGCAAAGTCAATTTTTTCCAATAAAGGGAATGTCAAACTAAAAATCACATCTAGAAATCCTACATTGATACTTTATATCAATGTAAGGTTTTAGTAAAGTATTTCACCTGTTTGTAACCACTTGTGTTCTTTATTGCTTGTATTTCTCCCAGCATGAAATAAATTATCACTTTCTCTTACTCATGCGCTAGTATTCTGCAGTTTGGGTTGCAAAACACCAAAATGGGGATTGTTTCAGAATTTCATTGACGCTGTAATACATGTCTATCCAAATGTGTTCAATACAAAACGGCTGTGTCTAGACTAGCAAGCTTTTCCACAAAAGCAGCTGCTTTTGCGGAAAAACTTGCCAGCTGTCTACACCAGCCGCTTGAATTTCTGCAAGAACACTGACTTCCTACTGTCTGAAATCAGTGCTTCTTGCGGAAATACTATGCTGCTCCCGTTCAGGCAAAAGTCCTTTTGCACAAACCTTTTGTGCAAAAGGGCCAGTGTAGACAGCTCGGATTTGTTTTGCGCAAAAAATCCCCGATCGCGAAAATGGTGATCGGGGCTTTTTTGCGGAAAAGCGCGTCTAGATTGGCACGGACGCTTTTCCGCAAAAAGTGCTTTTGCGGAAAAGCGTCCATGCCAATCTAGACGCTCTTTTCCACAAATGCTTTTAACGGAAACCTTTTCCGTTAAAAGCATTGGTGGAAAATCATGCCAGTCTAGACGTAGCCAACTTGTTTGAAATGTTTGTCTTTAAGTTACCTATGTCCCTTCTTAGCTCATGTTTGTTCTTTAAAGACCCTGCCTGCTCCTGCTACGCAAAACTCCATCCACTGGAGGCCAGCAGATACAGCTTCCTACTGGCAGGATCCCAATACCTCCTCTTCAGATGATTAGAAATGTCTCCCAAGCAGTGCCTAATTTTAAAGTTAACAAACCTAGAGGAGAGGACTGGTTTGAGCAACCAGTAGTTGGAGTACGCAATCTAGCCACATACATGTGCCTTGTATGCAATAGCACAACCCATGCAATTGCCTCTTGGTTTCAGGAATTGCTATGCCATTTTCTTTCCTGATAATTCTCATAATTGGGCATATGCATGATGTTAAAAGCATTTTTGTAGCTCTCTTTTGTGGGATGAAGTGGGAGAAAATAAGATAAGGACACTCTGAGAACCCAAGTAGGTGTTAAATGCCAGAACTTGTGTGGGGAAGGATGGAATCTTCCTACCAATAACCCCACAACTATCTCAAATCTTGCAGATTTCTTGACTATCTCTTTTAGTGTAGCACAGTTAATCATGGCAAAAACTCGCTGTCTCTTGGGAAGGATGAAAAACTAAGGCTGTTGATTAATTGCAGTTAACTCATATGATTAACTCAAAAAAAATTGCCGTTTTAATTGCACTGCAAAACAATAGAATACCAGTTGAAATGTATTATTTTGGATGTTTTTCTACATTTTCATTTACGGCACAGAATACAAAATGTACAGTGCTCACTTTATAATTTTTATATTACAAATATATGAACTGTAAAAATGATAAAATAGTATTTTTAATTGCTCATACAAATACAAATGTTATATATTTTATTACTCTAGTGCAATCTCTTTATCATGAAAGTGAAGCTTGCAAACGTAGATTTTGTGTGCAGTTACATAATGCAAAACTTTAGACCCTACAAGTCCTACTTCTTGTTCAGCCAATCTACACAGCACCTTAAACTCGAACTAAGATACACAATTTGCATATCTTATTTCAATTGAATTTTGAAATAGCGTATTTTGAAATTTGGTGTGTCTACACAGCGCCAAATTTTAAAATAATATGCTATTTCGAGTCATCCCTTACCCCTCAAGGAACGAGAGTTACAGAGATGTCTTATAGGTCTTGAAATAGCAGACATGCTATCTCGAAATAGCAGGAGTATTCGAAAAACTCGGGGTAGCTATTTTGGGATACTTCCCGTTGTGCAGATATACCCTAAGAGAAACAAGTTTGTTTGTGGGAGATGATGTTGCCTGCTTCTTACTGACCATGTTACCTGAAAGTGCAAACAGGTATTTGCATGGCACTCTTGAAGCAGTCATTGTAAGGTAAATACATGTCAGACATGCTAAACATTCATATACTCCTTTGTACTTCAGCCACCATTCCAGAGGACTAGCTTCCAAGCTGATGATGCTTGGTTTAAAAAAAAAAATCATTAATTACATTTGTGACTCTCCTCCTGGGGTGGGGGGAGGAGATTATACATCTCCTGCTGTGTGTATTACCCGAATTCTGTTGTATATTTCATGTTATAGCAGCCTCGGATGATGACCCAGCATATGTTGTTCATTTTCAAAAACATTTTCACTATAGATTTGACAAAAGACAAAGAAGATTGCAATGAGAGATTTCTAAAGATAGCTACAGCACCAGGGTTTAAGCATCTGAAGTGCCTTCCAAAATCTGAGGGACATGTGGAACATGCTGTCAGAACTCTTAAAAGAGTAACACTCTGATATGGAAACTACAGAACCTGAACCACTGAAAAAGGGAATCAACCATTTGCTGGTGGCACATGACGCAGCTGATAGAAATGAACATGTATTAGTCTGCACTGCTTAGGACTGTTATTGAGCAGAACCCATTAATTACATGGATGCATGTTCTCTGAAATGGTTATCATGAAGGGTCTTATGGATCTTAGCGCATCTAGCACAGAAATATTTTGAAATCTACCTAAATGGTGTCATGCAAATGCCTGTTTCCACTTTCAAGTGACATGGTAAACAAGAAGGCTACGTCTACATTGGCCCCCTATTACGGAAAAGGGGTGCAAATGTAGCACTTGGGAAGAGGCAAATGCGCGGGGGATTTAAATATCCCCCGCGGCATTTGCATTTTCATGGCCGCCGCTTTTTTCCGGCTTGGAGATAAGCCGGAGAAAAGCGTCCAGACTGGCGCGATCCTCCGGAATAAAGCCCTATTCCAGAGGATCTCTTATTCCTACTTGCAAGTAGGAATAAGAGATCCTCTGGAATAGGGCTTTATTCCGGAGGATCGCGCCAGTCTGGACGCTTTTCTCCGGCTTATCTCCAAGCCGGAAAAAAGCGGCGGCCATGAAAATGCAAATGCCGCGGGGGATATTTAAATCCCCCGCGCATTTGCCTCTTCCCAAGTGCTACATTTGCACCCCTTTTCCGTAATAGGGGGCCAATGTAGACGTAGCCGAAGTGAGCAGCATTACTTCCTGCAAAAATAAACAAACTTGTTTGTCTGAGAGGACAAAAAGTAGGTCTCCGTGGATGTACAGGTTCTAAGGCTGTGTCTATACTGGCATGATCTTGCGCAAAAGCAGCCGCTCTTGCACAAAAACTTGCTGCCTGTCTACACTGGCCGCGTGTTCTTGTGCAAGTAAACTGACATTCTAATGTATGAAATCAGGGTTTCTTGCGCCAGAACTCTGACGCTCCCGCTCAGGAGTAAGCCCTTTTGCGCAACTGTTCTTGCGCAAGAGGCCAGTGTAGACAGGCAACATGAATTTCTTGTGCAATAAAGCCCTCTGGTTAAAATGGCCATCAGAGCTTTCTTGCGCAAGAAAGCGTCTACACTGGCATGGATGCTTTTGCACAAAAGCACATCTCCTGCGGAAAAGCACATGCTAGTGTAGATGCTCTCTTCTGGAAGAGTTTCTACAGAAGAACTCTTCCGCAAAAGAGTTTTTGTGTGAGAACGTGCCAGTGTAAACGTAGCCTAAGGTTTTACATTGTTTTATTTTTGAATGCAGGGGCTTTTTCGTACATAATACTACATTTTTAAGTTCAACTTTCATGAGAAACAAATGCTGTAACAATTTCTATTGTGAACTGAAAAATACTAGCTTTCCTTACAGTGTAATCATTTATAACCAAAAATAAATATAAAGTGAGCACTGTATCCTTTGTAATTGAAATATATTTGAAAATGTAGAAAACATCCAAAAATATTTATATAAATGGTATTCTGTTAGTGTGATTAATTTTTAATTGCTTGACAGTCCTATTAAAAGCTTAATTTTAGTTTCAAGTTTAGAAAAGCTTCCCTGTTGCTATATTAAACATGATGATTCTGCCTGCATACCTTTACCCAACTACTCTATTTGCAAAAGTGAATTTTCCTGGATTTTTTAATCAAATGTTTTTATTTCATACAACCCACTTTTCATGTTTTATTTTAGGTTGTAGATTCAAGGATGTTAGAAGAAATCTTCAGAAAGATATAGGTACATTTATATAAAATATATATACACATATGCACATGCTTTATTTTGATTTATATATAATATATATGGACCACTACACTAAGTTAGAGCTTTCCTTTTCATATTGTAAGCAAGCACTTGCAAATGCACAGGGTGAATTAAAAGTGCATGAATTTACTATTATAGTCACTAGTATCTTGCCTGCATTCTTAGACTGGAGACTTTATTGTATAATCTCTCTAACCAACAAATCTTTGTTTCCAAATACAATGTGTATTGTCTCAGAAATTAAACAATCATAGTAACTCCTTATGCAAACACTTAAGACCATCTGCATTAGTGTTTCCCTTTTCTAATGAGTGGTCTTGTGGTGCCTTAGGGTGCATCCACACAGCACCCTAAACTCAAAATAAGATACACAATTTGCGTAGCTCAAATTGCATATCTTATCTCAAATCTATTTTGAAATTTTGCACGTCAACTCAGCGTCAAATTTCAAATATGCCAGACTATAGGGAGGGGGGGCTATGAGGGGTCTGGGATGGAGTGGTGGGGATGCGTCCCTCGGCGCTGCGAGACCAACCCGGCAGCACCTCAGCTGCTCTTGGGGACGCCTGGGACAGAGCAGCTGGGGGGCTGCTGGGGTTGGGACGTAGCGCCGAGGGGCAGCGCTATGGGACCAACCCAACAGCACCCCAGCCGCTCTGCCCGGAGTCAGCCGCTGGTCAGTTTCAGCAGTGGCTGAGGCAGGGAAGCCGGGGTCAGAGCAGCTCCAATTGTCCGGCTGCCCGGAGCACTTCCGGGTTCCAGATGGTGCTGGACCATCAGGAGTGCTGGACCATCAGGAGTGACCGACCACTGGAGTTTTACTGTAGCTCTTAAACTTGATTTTATTTGCAAGTGTCTTGGTTTGTTGGCAGAAGAATTGAAGAGGCATGGGATACAAGATATATTTGTGCTCTGTACCAAAGGAGAACTTTCAAAATATCGGGTGCCACTCTTACTAGACTCCTATCAGCACCATGGGATTATTGTGCATCACCATCCTATTCCTGATGGAGACACTCCTGACATCACCAAATGCTGTACTATTCTGGAAGAACTAAAGGGCTGTCTGGAAACCAACAGGAAAACATTAATACAGTAAGTTCCTATCTCTGCAATGCATCTATCAGCTTCCCTTCAGATGGATGAACAATCAACACTTTAATGTACAATAAACAAACTGCCAAATGACAGAGAGTTGGCTCTCTTTAGAGTTAATTCAAACTGTGCAATTTCTTCCCTTTCACTGTCTTCTTCTGGAACACACTACTATTTCCATTTCCTTGCCCCATTTAATGAGAAACAATACCAGGCCTTGTATGGTTGAAAACCTACAGCCTCCCCCCACCTTTGAGCTGGTTTAGTGGGTTGACCCATAGCATGCTACCTGAGCAACTGAATAATATTCATAGCAGCTGTCAGAGTGACTTACCTTGAGCCTTTAGGAAACAATAATGGTTACTAACAAATAACTACATAAGGATATTATGGTTCATTCTTCTAATCCACTGAGAAATGGACTTTGAGTGGGAGGGAGGCAGTTTTTCTTCTTTTCCATTGGGCACTAGAGAAGCTAAAGGCAGAGAAACTACCAAAATTATCTGACCTTGTGTTTCTAGATTCACAGAAAGCAACTCTCTGGCAGTAGATTTCTACAGGTTTTACCGAGGGAGTAAATTTTCACATAACTAATGTTCAAAACCTGTACTGTAAGCCTTTGTTTAGGTTAGGGGAGACTAGTGGAATTATGGTCAACATATTCTTGAATTAATTCTTTTTCCACTGACCTCACAAAAGATGAAAGTTTCTAGCCATCTTGATCTCTCTATGGCTACATCTATACTGCACTCTTCTGGCTCAAAAGCATATGCAAATGAAGCGTGGATTTAGCATATTGCTGTGCTTCATTTGCATAATTAATTGGGGGCCGTTTTTGTGCAAGGGGCTTTTGCGCCAAAGGGAGTTATGTAAACTGCTCCTTTTTGCGCAAAAACCCCTCTTGCGCAAGAGCCATTCTTCCTGAAAAAATGAAGAATGGCTCTAGTGCAAGAAGGGGTTTTTGCACAAAAGCCTCTTGCGCAAAAACAGCCCCTAATTAATTATGCAAATGAAGTTCAGCAGTATGCTAATCTATGCTTCATTTGCATAGGCTTTTGCACAAGAAGAGTGCAGTATAGACATAGCCCTAGCGATCTTGCAAGGATCAGCATGCACAGTGAGACCACAGATCTAATTTGGGACTTCAGGTGCTACTGCACTATTAAAACAGGCTATTCTTTTCTTTCAGCTGTTTTGGAGGACTTGGACGTTCATGTCTCAGTAAGCATTTTTTTCCTTCTCCCTCAATGTTATTACTTATTAGTGATACAGTTTAACCATGTCCTCTTCAGGCAATAGAATTAAAATATGCATTAGTCTGGTGTCTAAAGGACCAAAATGCATTATGAACCAGAGGCTTCTAAGTTGGGAATGGAACTTGGTGCCCTTGCACAGTAGAAAATAAGAGAAGTTTAATTGCCTCCTTTATTAAAATTGGTTATAGTTTGGCAGGCCTCCATTGTTGGCAGAAATATGAGCGAGAGAGTACATCAGGCCTGACCAGGCATCCACTGAACTAAATGGAGCAGGTTTGAGCCAATTTATTTAGTAGTTTATGGTACTGAGTGAGAGAAAATGTTACCCAGTCACTTGTTAAAGAATTATAAAAGCCAGTGAACAGTTCACCATAGCTCTAATGTGCTCTCAAATATATGGAAGTGTGGATAGACTTCTTGGCTGATTGGTAAGAGAAGCAAACCAAACCTTGCCTCTGTCTTCTTTCCCATGCCTACAGTGAGACTTGCCTCCATTCTTGTCAAAGTAGGGACTACATTCTGTCCTCAGCTGGCTGAGCTCCCTGACCCTCCGCGGGAAGGAGGAGACACAAACCTCTTGTTTCTGTGGCTGTGTCTATACTGGCGCGATCTTGCGCCAGAGCTATGCAAATGAGGCTCAGTCTGGAATATCGCCGAGCCTCATTTGCATAACTAATGCGCTGCCATTTTTGCGGAAGAGGCTCTTGTGCAAGACGGAGCTGTCTACACTGCCCCTTCTTGCGCAAGAAAAACCCTCTTGCGCAAAGCCGTTATGCCTGAAAATAATCAGCATAACGGCTTTGCACAAGAGGGTTTTTCTTGCGCAAGAAGGGGCAGTGTAGACAGCTCCGTCTTGCGCAAGAGCCTCTTCCACAAAAATGGCGGCTCATTAGTTATGCAAATGAGGCTCGGCGATATTCCAGGCTGAGCCTCATTTGCATAGCTCTGGCGCAAGATCGCGCCAGTATACACACAGCCTGTGTGTTTTTCCTCTGCTTAGTTCTCTTCCCAGAAACTTAAGGAGTGCCAAAAGCTGCAAACGCCCAACAAGGAAAGCATATCTGAGAAGATAATCTCCCAAAATGCAAATATAACCCTTAAGATATTATGAGGCCAGATTGTTAGTTTTTAAATTAAATATTGCACTTTCCCTCCAAAAAACTGCAGCCAAGATGCAGGGGGAGCTACTGGTGATGGAGGGAAAGTTGAACATACTTCCCTGCTGCTAATGACTTGACAGGCCTGGTTGTCCCAACTGCAACCTGGCTAAAGTATCCTTTGTAACAGAGCTGTGAACCTTCATATGATGAAGAAATTCCAGCTCTGACATGTCCATGAGACCCTGGTGTTTGTTCTAAGCACAAACATCAGTGATCAGAAGTTTTGTGACATAAGGAGATGATTGTTAGAATGCATATTTATGCATCTTTTCCTTACAGTAGTTGCATGTCTTCTACTTCAATTATCTGATGCAATGGAACCTCAAGAGGCAATAGAGACTCTCAGAGACTTACGAGGATCTGGGGCAATACAAACAATAAAGGTAATGAGGCTGTAGATGGGGAGAATACTAAATTGGAGGGTGGCTGCCCCTCTGTAGTAGGATCTTCCTTCATGAAGGGATGGCTTTGTCTTTCTGAGTTAAAGCAGGCCTTTAGTAATTCATGCCCTTACTGCCTTTGAACACATGCTGTCACACCAAATTGCAACTTTCTTCCTTTATTGCCACTCTGCTACCCTTCCCCCTC